CCAAATATACTAATGGCGCATCATGTAGACAGTGCGCCATTATTAATTAAAACTAGTAATGGCGCAATGTCCACATGTGCGCCATTACTAAGTTTTTTCCTCTAGCTAATGGCGCATCGCCAGTGGGTGCGCCATTAGTAATTTTCCCCCTAATTCGCTCGATCCCTTCGTCCCTCCCTTCACTTCCCCCCTCGCTCCACACCCGGCCGCTTCGACGACCCCCGCGCCCCGCCTCGCCGTCTCAGGCCTCGCCGCCGACCCACTGCGCCGCTGCCCCACCCACTGCGCCGCCGCACAGTCTCCTCAGCCCGTAAGCCCTCCTCCTCCTCCGCCCGTCCGTCGCCTTCGGCCTCGTGCCCACCCGCCGCCGCCCTCCTCCATTTCACCGTCGACATTACGGTTTTGGCCGCCGACGCCGACATCGACGCCGATGCCGCCTGCCCTCCCCCGTTTGGCCGCCGACGCTGTGCTCCGACCTGCTCTCCTCCCCCTCCGACTCCCTCGACGGCGTCTCGGTCGGGTCTTGCACCGCTACCCCCTCCGTCTTGGTGAACGACAGCGGCGGCGCCGCCGCTGACGCTGGGCTACGGACCTTCCCCCCTCCGCCGCTCACGTCCCCGCGCCCTACGGCCCCCGCCCCGACAGCGGCGTGACCCGGAGGCGCCGCTCATCGGCAACGACAAGGGCAAGTCCTCCTCCTCGTCTGCCTCCCGTTAACTGTATTTTATCTTCAATTCAACAGCCTCCATGTGTGGATTTTGGGCAGTAAGATCGCCAGCCACATTAATTGTGTTTTTCTTGCTTTTGGAAGCAGGTCCCCTCCTCCAAAGAGGTTGAGAGATCCTCCATGAAGGTCACCACCCCTCCTCCTCGCCGCCCTCTCCACTGCCGTCCCAGATTAGTTCCTCCTCTCCACTACCACCCCTCCTCAAGCTTCTCGAATGATGTTTGAGGTAATGCCATTCTGCCTTGTCAACCTTACAAAGGACAGATTTGAGGTGACTGTAGTTTGGCATCTTCAGAATTTCACAAAGGTGGATAACCTTCTAATGGCCATAATGTGCCCTACTGTCAAAAAATTCAGTTAGGTACAGTTAGCATAATATAAGAAAATGGCCATAATGTGCCCTGATAATGATGTATTTTGTCATAAAAATATATAGTGGACTGCCATGATAATGACATGCTGCTAGTAGTTACTTCCATGAGTTGTTTTATTGACATGGCACATTTGCAATTGAATTTTATATATCTTTAGCCACTGTTCATTAATAGCAAGTCAGTTTTGTTTATAGTTGAAAGTAAGTGTGTGGTTTGAAATTTTGACCTGATTATGACATCTAGAATTATGTCAGTTTTGTTTTGTAACTAGAAGACCAAAGTGTGTTACTTGTGATCTTCTGATGATACTACTTGTGATGATGTTGTACTTGTGATGATGCTACTTGTGATCTTCTGAAATGACCCATTGGCGACTTCATTACGCGGGGATAATGATTTTGCAGGTATCCGGAGAGGCCCTTGAGTTTGCCGAGATGTTGATTAACTTCCGTTCCGGCAAATTCGGGTACTCCATATGTCCTATTTTCAGCAAAGGTCATGCTGAAATTTTCCGTGAATTTTAGCATGACTTTGCTAAAAATAGGACATATGGGGTACTTGCGACTAATGCATGGGCCGGGGTATCTTAGTACTTAATTAAGTAGGATCAACTGCCCCTTTATTCTTGCTGCATTAAACCATAGGTTTTAGGGTGCCTCAGTGTCGATAAAAACCTAAATGATGAAAGCTTAGGCTTTTAGGGTGCCTCGGCGTCGACAAACCCTAAATGATAAAACCTTGGCTTTTAGGGTGCCTCGGTGTCGATAAGAACCTAAATGATGAAAGCTTAGGCTTTTAGGGTGCCTCGGCGTCGACAAACCCTAAATGATAAAAGCTTAGCTTTTAGGATGCCTCGGTGTCGACAAACCCTAAATGATGTAGTTCTGAATTATGAACGTAGGATATGTCGTCATCGGACAACGAAAGTCCCCCGGGGGAGTGCGACTGGTGCCACGACGATCGAGGTCTGTGCGACATGCCTCACCTGGACGATGATCGGCGCTTCAGCATTAAGCTCGAGGAGACCTTCGAAGTTGAAACGGTACACAACGACGACAAGTGTTATTTTCATAATTAAGCATGACTTCAACTATTTCAACGTGTAATTTTCATCTTTTACAATTCGAGTATAGCTTATCCCATGCCATGCAAGACGCTATGTCTTGGAGAGGATGGATTTTGAAGACCATGAAATTTCTGAAACAAAGAAAATTCACCTAAGGACTCATCACAATGTGGACTTTGAAGTAATCTGTATAATTCTGAGAGCGTAACCCATTTTGGTTGCAAAAATTGTGAAGCATTTTGCAAGATGTATGGTTTTGATGAGGGTATGCTTATCACCATGGATCTTGGTAATCCTGACATCGACCAAGACAATATGGACATTTGGGTCCTTGTTGATACGCCTCCAGTTCTACCGCTATGTGAGTTTCTCAAACATAGTTCTTAGCTAATTTATATTGTTTATTTCAAAATAGTTGACAGCTTATTTCCATTGACAGCTTATTTTTATTGTTCAAAGAATGTGCGGGAGATGGTAGACAAAACCCACTACACCGATGGCTCCGAATTAACAACTTACAAGGAGAAAAATTATCTGGTCGGATTTTGTACTGACATTGAGAATTACAATATCCACAATCAAACTTCTTAACATTATGGTAAATACGTGCCACTAGTGCATGTGTTCAACTACGGTAACTACCATGGAGATACCCTGGTAAGAATTTTACTATTACAACATCCGTGCATCTTTTGCATACTTCTAAAACTAGTACATCATTGCTAACTATGAAGTTATTACTATGTTTTTCAACAGATAATCCAAGAGAATTGTGTGCCTCATTTGATGTATCAGAAAGGTAGTCTTAATGTTTTGAACATACAGCCAGGTCATCCTACGAATCTCAACTGTCCATACGAGATTTCTAAAAGAAATGGAGACATGAAAATCAAAGGATGGAAAAAATGTATGGACAGTCGTAAGGAGGTTCTTGGAAGCAAAAGGAAGCGAAGCGCAAGAATTGGAGACATGATGATCTCCATTCTCCATAATGGAGAGTCAGGGTCTATATTGTTTTATGCTATTTTACCTTAATTAGGGTATTTAGGTCCTGCCTAATACTGATGATCATGTGCTAAGAACAATTAAGTAGGGTTGGTTCGAGACTTGTAATGTTCTATCTTAGTATTACTTCCGACAAACTCGCTACTCGCGGTCTCGAGACTTGTAATGTTTTATCTTTGTTCGGTCTTTTGAATTCGGAGACTAATATGATGAATTGTATTCGGAGACTAATCTTCTATTGTATTCGATGAATCTTCTCTTGCTGTGGGGTGTTGTCTATATTTTGTTCAATAATATATTTTGTAACCTCTGCAAAATTCAGAAAAGTAAAAAAAGAACCTAATATTCATACTAATGGCGCATCACCCCATAGTGCGCCATTAGTATGCCAGATACTAATGGCGCATGGTGGCCTATACTAATGGCGCACGGCCTGGTGCGCCATTAGTAAAAAATACTAGTGGCGTGGTACTAGTGGCACACCAGTAGTGTGCCATTAGTAGGCAAAAGTGGTGCGCCACTACTAGGCCTTTTCCTAGTAGTGGTCGCTCGCCTGATCTCCCGCTCCGCGCCTCCGCCCGCTCGCCGCTCTGCTCCACTGCTCGCCCGCTTGCCCGCTCCGCTGCTCGCCCGCTCACCGGCTCTGCTCCGCCGCTCGTCCGCTACCCGCTCTGCTCCAGCCTCTCCTCATCTCCGCCGTCCACCACGTCGTCTGCCCTCCGCCGAACTGCTAGTTTGATGCTAATTTGTATAGATTGAACATTTGATGTTAATTAGCTAATATGTGGAGGTGCATTTGCGCTACTGCCTTCTGGTAATGGTTGCTGCTGTTGTTAAATTTTTATAGATTGAACATTTTTTGATCTGCTATAATGGTTGCTGTTGCTGTACTGCTTATGGTTGTTGCTGCTGTCAAACATTCAATTTCATTTGAATTGTATTTGAATGTGAATGTTGTTGTTGTAGTGTTGCTGCTGTTGATATCAATTTCATTTCATTTTGTAGAAATAAAAAAATGAAGAAATACTTTTCATCGGTGGCCGCAACGAAAGTGTCTATACCCGGCGTTTTAGCGGGAGGGAACCAAGGATTTGGTGCAATTGAGCCATATTTTGAGGTATTCTTTTGAGATAGCTATAGCTTGATGGACGAAAAAAAATTCTCTCGTGACGAATTTTTTTTGGTGCCCTGGGCTTGCTTCAATCCTGGCTCCGCCACACACACGTGCGGGCGCGGGGGAGGGGGTGATGCGGGGTGGTACTGATATTGAATCCTGCTTGTCTCAGCTTGTACAATTTTTCCTAAAAAAACTAGACACACATAAAGAGAGAGAGGGAGAGGGAGAGAGAGAGCAATGAATAATAGCGCTTGGACTAAAAAAATGAAGAACCGGACAGAAAAATCGCAAAATCCTGCGGGGATGTACATTTTTTTTGCGTATTGTATTGTATTTATTTGTTACTGTAGACGTTGATACTTTTAAATACAAATTTCATCGAACTTTATAAAGTTTGACTTTATAAAAAAATATCATGTGATGTTTGACTTAAGAGAAATCTTTACGAAGTTTAGAAGACTAATATCCGAATGGAAAAAAGACAGAGAAGGAAAGAGAGTAACAGTTTTGCTACTTGCCCAATTGTTTGAATATAGCAACCACACACAAACAAGTGCAATTTTCTTAAATGGGGTGAATATCTCTTAGCATGGCGGAACCGCGTGACAAACGTCGCAGGCCTAACACCATGATCAAGATCAATAACACTGAGCATCCAGTAATGAATACTTCAGTAGAGATACGGATTTATTATCACCGACCATAAAATGCCTAGGCGCTGCGAGTAGTGAAATTGAAGTGGCTGCACTGCGTGAAGGACGGCAGCCTGGCGAACCCCAGCCGCTTCTTCTTCTTCATGTCGAACTCCAGCACGGTGTTCTCCATCTGGAACCCTCCGATGAGCACCGACGGCGCGCTGCCGTCCCCGCCCTTCACCCCCTGCATCTGCACGAACGCCAGGCACGCCGTCGTGGGCCCCATGTCCACCATCAAGCTCAACCCGTCCATCGTCCAGTTCTTTCCGCCGCCCAGCGTCAGCGTCACGGCCGGCACCAGGTAGCCGATCCGCGTGTTGGCCAGCGTCCGCCTGTCGTAGCACAGCTGGAACGGCGCGTAGGGCTTCACCGCTTTCGCCACGGGCCCGCCCTGCGCACCCTGCTTCGCCAGGGCCTTGGTGAACGCGTCCACCAACGGGAGGAACACGTCGGAGCGGAGCAGCGTGAAGGGCGACCTCGTGCAGAGCACCGCGCCGCCGGTGGCGAGCGCCTGCGCCGGGACGGGCACGCGGGCGCTCTCCACGGCGATGGACTTGATCGTGATGTAGTGCGCGGGGTTGCCCTTCTTGGCGACGAGCGGCGTGTAGGCCAGCTCCTTCGTGTAGTCCCTCTCCGGCTGCGCCATGAAGTGGAGCGGGCCGCCGCCGAAGACGGCCACGCCGGGGTCGGCGGAGAGGCCACGGGGCAGACATAGGAGGAACTTGTTGGAGACCTTCTGCGCGGACGCCACCTGCGCCGGCAGCGCCAGGTCGGAGCCCGCGAGCCCCGCCACGCCCGAGGCGCCCTGCGGCAGCGACTCGAGGAGTTTGCTGGGCGCGCACGCGGCCACGGCCCGCACGTTCACCTGGCTCACCGGGTTCTTCCCGTCGGTGGTGTTGGCGACGAACCTGGTGTGGATCAGGTCCCCGGCCGCGCACGCGCCCGTGACTGGGTTGTACGGGAAGGCCTTGCATACCTTGTGACTGTGGTCGCAGAGCTTGTCAGCCGCGCTCTCGGTGCAGCTCGGGGCGTGGTACTTGTTCGCGAGCCTGCATGTGTCGCTCTTGCACGGGAACGCCGCCGGCAGGTGGTCGGGCGCGCACGTCGACCAGACGAGCGGGCCGGCGGTGTCGACGACGATGTTGGCGCCGTAGTGGAATGGGATGGTGTAGAGGCGGGTGGCGGGGTCCTTAGTGACCGGGGCGAGCACCGACCGAGCACTTTTGCACGACGCCGGCCACGCCAGCACGGCTAGCGAGACGGCCATGGCGAGGAGGTGGAGCCGCGCCATCTTTCGTGGGCGGAGAGGTTTGTTGGTGGTGTTGACCTTGCGAGTGTGGCATTCCGTCGGTGGGTACGACCTTCTTTATATAGTGGAGGTGAGGCATGTGCGATCTCTCGAGTCTCGGCACCGGAATTAATGGCGATTTCCCGTCGACGATGAGGAGTGTACTATAGGAGTAGTCAAATTGTTTTCGACTGCCAAAGTGTCGGATCTTGCTGCGGCGTGCACAGGAAGGTGTGCATGCATGGGCGTGATCCATGCAGGGTGAGACTGACTGACCGAGTGCAAAGCCCATGTTCATTTCTGTCCATTTCTGTGCACAGGAAGGTGCTTCCATGAGATGCATTGACCTTCTGACAGATCGCACCGACGAGGAGGATTCCGATGCACGCCATCAATCAAGCATCTGCAGAATTGAGACTAACAATGAGTAACTGGTTTAAACATAAACCAGATTGATGGGTGAAAATGTTTCCATACTCTTCATTATCAACTGTGAATAGGCAATTTCATGCTAATTCATTGGATGTATATTTTTTGATCTGAACTTCACAAATCTGCAAGTTTTATTTGACTTGCATGGTAAGTGCACAAGTTTTACCATACTGCTAGTTAAGAAGAGTAGCATGGTTGTTGTACTGCCAGTTGTAGCATAAGAAAGAGAGCAACAACGCGCACGCTCACTCACTTACTCCCATGCCATGCCACGGCATGCAGCGCAACGCGAATCGCCTTGCGTGAATCGCATTCGAGTTTGGCCTAATGTTATCATCTTGCTAGAAGAACTACTTTTTTGCATGGCAATGCAGTGCCTACCTTTGGATATACACGTGTTAATACTCGATCTCGGTGGCCCGTCCTTGGACGGCTTTGCCTACTTGCTGGCGGATGACACGAGAGGGGGGATTCTACTTGCTAGGGATACCACGGTACTGCAGGTAGATCGTATCCAGAGGGATACTAACTTCCTCACGGGATTGGTACACCCTAGATCAGGAGAGGATTGGTGGATTTCGGTGGTTTATGGCCCCCAAGGAAACGAGGCGAAAACCCAGTTCCCGGAGGACTTGGCGGCTAGGCACGCGTTCTGCCCTGGACCTTGGATGGTGCTCGGTGACTTTAACATGATCCTGCGTGCAAATGAGAAGAGCAACACTAATGTCAATCGAACGATGATGAACAAATTCCGGAGCTTTGTTGATAGTACCGAGTTGAAGGAGCTTTATATGCACGGGCGTCGATTCACCTGGTCGAGTGAAAGAGAAAACCCAACTCTTACTAGAATAGACAGGGTCTTGGTCTCGGTTGATTGGGAGCTGGCTGAAGGAAATATGCCCTAGAGGCAATAATAATGTTATTATTTTATTTCCTTATATCATGATAAATGTTTATTATTCATGCTAGAATTGTATTATCCGGAAACATAATACTTGTGTGAATACATAAACAAACCAAACGTCACTAGTATGCCTCTACTTGACTAGCTCGTTAATCAAAGATGGTTATGTTTCCTAACCATAGACAAAGAGTTGTTATTTAATTAACGGGATCACATCATTAGGAGAATGATGTGATTGACTTGACCCATTCCGTTAGCTTAGCACTCGATCGTTTAGTATGTTGCTATTGCTTTCTTCATGACTTATACATGTTCCTATGACTATGAGATTATGCAATTCCCGTTTACCGGAGGAACACTTTGTGTGCTACCAAACGTCACAACGTAACTGGGTGATTATAAAGGAGCTCTACAGGTGTCTCCAAAGGTGAATGTTGGGTTGGCGTATTTCGAGATTAGGATTTGTCACTCCGATTGTCGGAGAGGTATCTCTGGGCCCTCTCGGTAATGCACATCACATAAGCCTTGCAAGCATTACAACTAATAAGTTAGTTGCAAGATGATGTATTACGGAACGAGTAAAGAGACTTGCCGGTAACGAGATTGAACTAGGTATTGAGATACCGACGATCGAATCTCGGGCAAGTAACATACCGATGACAAAGGGAACAACGTATGTTGTTATGCGGTCTGACCGATAAAGATCTTCGTAGAATATGTAGGAGCCAATATGGGCATCAAGGTCCCGCTATTGGTTATTGACCAGAGAGGTGTCTCGGTCATGTCTACATAGTTCTCGAACCCGTAGGGTCCGCACACTTAACGTTCATTGACGATATAGTACTATGTGAGTTATGTATGTTGGTGACCGAATGTTGTTTGGAGTCCGGGATGAGATCACGGACATGACGAGGAACTCCGGAATGGTCCGGAGACAAAGTTTGATATATGGGATAATAGTGTTTGGTCACCGGAAGGGTTCCGGAAATCACCGGAAGGGGTTCCGGATGTTTCCCGAAATGTTTGGGTACGAGAACACTTTATTTGGGCCAAACGGGAAAGCCCACAAGGTTTTTGGAAAGCACAAAAGCAAGTTTTGCGGAGTCCAGGGGCCAGGGTCCCTGGCGTCTGGGTCCAGACGCTGGGAACCCTGGCTTCTGGCCCTAGAGTCCGAGAAGGACTCTTGCCTTTCGGGTGAAACTGACTTTGTGGAGGCTTTTACTCCAAGTTTCGACCCCAGGGCTCAACATATAAATAGAGGGACAGGGCTAGCACGGAAGACACATCAAGAAACACCAAGCCGTGTGCCGGCAACCCCGTCTCCTCTAGTTTATCCTCCGTCATAGTTTTCGTAGTGCTTAGGCGAAGCCCTGCGGAGATTGTTCTTCACCAACACCGTCACCACGCCATCGTGCTGCCGGAACTCATCTACTACTTCGCCCCTCTTGCTGGATCGAGAAGGCGAGGACGTCACCGAGCCGAACATGTGCAGAACTCGGAGGTGCCGTGCTTTCGGTACTTGGATCGGTCGGACGTGAAGACGTATGACTACATCAACCGCCTTGATATAACGCTTCCGCGAACGGTCTACGAGGGTATGTAGACAACACTCTCCCTCTCGTTGCTATGCATCACCATGATCTTGCGTGTGCGTAGGATTTTTTTTAAAATTACTACGTTCCCCAACAGTGGTATCAGAGCCTAGGTTTTATGTGTTGATGTTTTATGCATGAGTAGAACACAAGTGAGTTGTGGGCGATATAAGTCATACTGCTTACCAGCATGTCATACTTTGGTTCGGCGGTATTGTTGGACGAAGCGGCCCGGACCGACATTACGCGTACGCTTACGCGAGATCGGTTCTCCCGACGTGCTTTGCACAAAGGTGGCTAGCGGGTGACAGTTTCTCCAACTTTAGTTGAACCAATTGTGGCTACGCCCGGTCCTTGCGAAGGTTAAAACAGCACCAACTTGACAAACTATCATTGTGATTTTGATGCGTAGGTAAGATTGGTTCTTGCTTAAGCCCGTAGCAGCCACGTAAAACTTGCAACAACAAAGTAGAGGACGTCTAACTTGTTTTTGCAGGACATGTTGTGATGTGATATGGTCAAGACATGATGCTAAAATTTTATTGTATGACATGATCATGTTTTGTAACCAAGTTATCGGCAACTGGCAGGAGCCATATGGTTGTCGCTTTATTGTATGCAATGCAATTGCGCTGTAATGCTTTACTTTATCACTAAGAGGTAGCGATAGTCATGGAAGCATAAGATTGGCGATACGACAACGATGCTATGATGATGATCAAGGTGTCGCGCCGGTGACGATGGTGATCACGACGGTGCTTCGAAGATGGAGATCACAAGCACAAGATGATGATGGCCATATCATATCACTTATATTGATTGCATGTGATGTTTATCTTTTATGCATCTTATCTTGCTTTGATTGACGGTAGCATTTTAAGATGATCTCTCACTAATTATCAAGAAGTGTTCTCCCTGAGTATGCACCGTTGCGAAAGTTCTTCGTGCTGAGACACCACGTGATGATCGGGTGTGATAGGCTCTACGTTCAAATACAACGTGTGCAAAACAGTTGCACACGCGGAATACTCAGGTTATACTTGACGAGCCAAGCATATACAGATATGGCCTCGGAACACGAAGACCAAAAGGTCGAGCATGAATCATATAGTAGATATGATCAACATAGTGATGTTCACCAATGAAACTACTCCATCTCACATGATGATCGAACATGGTTTAGTTGATTTGGATCACGTGATCACTTAGAGGATTAGAGGGATGTCTATCTAAGTGGGAGTTCTTAAGTAATATGATTAATTGAACTTAAATTTATCATGAACTTAGTCCTGGTAGTATTTTGCAAATCATATTGTAGATCAATAGCTCGCGCTATTGCTTCCCTGTGTTTATTTTGATATGTTCTTAGAGAAAATTGTGTTGAAAGATGTTAGTAGCAATGATGCGGATTGGATCCATGATCTGAGGTTTATCCTCATTGCTGCACAGAAGAATTATGTCCTTGATGCACCGCTAGGTGACAGACCTATTGCAGGAGCAGATACAGACGTTATGAACATTTGGCTAGCTCAATATGATGACTACTTGATAGTTTAGTGCACCATGCTTAACGACTTAGAATCGGGACTTCAAAGACGTTTTGAACGTCATGGACCATATGAGATGTTCCAGGAGTTGAAGTTAATATTTCAAGCAAATACCCGAGTTGAGAGATATGAAGTCTCCAACAAGATCTATAGCCAAAAGATGGAGGAGAATCGCTCAACTAGTGAGCATGTGCTCAGATTGTCTGGGTACTACAATCACTTAAATCAAGTGGGAGTTAATCTTCCAGATAAGATAGTGATTGACAGAATTCTCTAGTCACCATCACCAAGTTAGTAGAACTTCGTGATGAACTATAGTATGCAAGGGATGACGAAAATGACTCCCGAGCTTTTCATGATGATGAAATCGATGAAGGTAGAAATCAAGAAAGAGCATCAAGTGTTGATGGTATACAAGACCACTAGTTTCAATAAAAGGGCAAAGGGAAGAAGGGGAACTTCAAGAAGAACGGCAAGCAAGTTGCTGCTCAAGTGAAGAGCCCAAGTCTGGTCCTAAGCCTGAGACTA